AATGTGAATTGCTGGCACAGGTTTTTAAGTGAGACTTCTTTCTGCAAAGAGCAATAAATAAAACCTTGAGGTATATGGTAGAGCAAAGTCAATAAATGTAATGATTACTCTTTTATGTAGTCTTTTTATAAAGTGTCCAGGAATATTTATGACTCAGACTGAAATGTATTCTCTGTGCAGATAGATACACAAAGATAGGTACATTTTTCCACCCCAAGTGGTAGAACCAATGTTACACTGAAAGACACTGGGGAGTTAGTCAGGGAGGCGAGTAGCCTGAGCTACTGAATTTAACTAAGACTCTTCCAGCCACCTTGGTTACACTGGGCTTGAGTACGAACCGTGACTAGCTATGTTGTGTGTTACAGTTGGCTTTATTTTAACTTAGGTCTAGTGGGCCTAGACGCTCCAAGGTGATACAGTGCAGTATTAGATGAGTAAAAGGTTTTATTTATTTATTATAAAAGGCAAGTGAAAGAATGGAGGATGTGTTTTATAATTGCCATATTTAATGGGGATTTTCCATTTTTAGATTTCACGCAGTTGCCTGTGACAGCTCCTGTTGAGTAAACTGAGACGAGAACATCTTGTATCGGCTGTTGTCCCTGTCCCTGCCATGATGAGAAGTTTCATAAGGTTTCTTTTTCTTGTTAATTCATGCTTTTATTGTAGTGTAATTATTATAAGCAGGTCAATTAGTAAACACATTCCTTTAAGGATTTTTTTTTTCTCATTTAACAAAAGTTTTCTTCTAAAACTAAAGGGTGTAACAGTATTACTATAAGTAGTATATCAGACCAAATCACTGATTATGTATTAAGCAGGATCAGTCCTCAAAACTGCTGGTTTACTTCTCCAGACTCATGAATGAGTATGGTGGTTGCTTCTCTTTGCTGTTGAAAAAAGAAACTTTTTACTTGTGGTCTTAATCTTTCCTGTTTGGTGACTACTTCATGAAACAGAATTACGTATAAACTGAACAGCTATTATGTGTGTGCAGAAACACTCACATAAGTTGTGTTCTTGCATAAACGAGCAGCTCTTTCCTCCAGGATTTAACCTGCCAACCTTTTCTGCATCACTAGTCAGGGTTTGAACACTGATTCCTCAAAAACCCTGCCAGGATCATATGAAACCAGAATGGATGCACGTTCTATAAGAACCTGACTGTTTACAGCTAACTTGCAGACTGAACCACTAAGTTAAAATATTTTCACGTTGTGTATTTTTATTTGTCAGTGATTAAGTAGGAGTTACCTAAGAACAAAATTCCGGTATTGTAAAGGCAGTGGACTTGCACTGTCATAGTCTAACTAATACTTAGGAAAATTACTTAGGTTCCTGTTGTCTTCTGCTTTCCATTCCCTGCCCCAAAATGTGGGGTTTACTTACCCTCTTTTTATGGTCAAAAGCAGTCATATACTTCCAAAATTAACGAGGTGACCACAGATTATATTTCAATGAAATTTTAAAGTGCGGTATAGTATTTCACTTAGTCCTTCAGAGTATTTTTTTTTGTTTTTGTTTGGTACTTTTTTTTAAAGGCAGAATATTAAACAGGAAACAGTGCATCCTTTTCAAGCCTTTCAAATTTGATATAACCTTGACAATTTTCCTAAACCTTTTCATTTTCAGATTAGTTCTGCAAATGATTATTAATCACGTATTTTCATTTTGAATTTTTAAAATATCGTACATTAAAGGTTCAAAATAGCAGTTGTTAGAGAAAAATGCACGTGCAGACATTGTACCTTAATGAAAACAATCTTTTTTTTACAAGGTCATTAAAACTGTTTTTTTTTTTAGGGGAGGTTGAATGACCTTTTATTTAAAACAAAACAAAACACGTACTGTCACGTTCAGCTGCATTGGTTTTGCTTGTAATAAAAGATAACTGTCTTACTGCAAGCACCCAGTCCCAAGTTAGGGTTAAGTTCTGCTTCCACAATGATTTTTTTTTTTTTTTTTTTTTTATTGAATGCTTTGTGATCCATTTAGCTGGCTTCAGTGTTCTTCCGCTGGGAATGACAATGATAAATCTGTTGGATAAAGGCATTTTAGACTGCATCTCCTTTGCTTATCTGGGATTTTGCTCTTCAGCAACACAGGAAACAAATAAATGAAATGACAAGTTAAAATGCATCTTGTATTCTTCAGTTAAACAAGGAAAGAGGTGGAGCCTTTACATTGCCGCCAAGGGACTTCCTTTATGTCGCGGCTCAGCTCTCTTTAGAACCATCACCCTACAAAGATTTTGGAACTTACCCTTCTAATGAGAATACTAGAATATATTTTTCTTGCTTGTTCAAAAAAGGACTGCACTTTTCTCACTCCCAATTACAATGGTAATTACAATTAGTTACAAGCATAGATGCTCTGTAAATATCACAGTCTGAAATCAATTGCCAAATTGTTAGAGACTGGCACAGGAGCACCCTGTCTTGCTAAAGTTTGCTATCGATTGTAAAGAAAGAAAAATGGAGTCTTATTTGGCCTTAAACCAAGAAAATGCATTTGCAAAAGATACTTTTTTTATCCTTGAAAAATTAATTTTAAATGAAAAAATATTTTTGTAAGTGTTAATTTTTAAAAGAAACTGTTTGAAATAGAGGACTTGTAAAGGCCTTACTTTACTGAAGGAGAAACTCAAATAATTAGCGTTTTACTCAGGGTAACAGATGTACATCAGAGTAAACTTCTAGAGCTGGACGCTGACTTTCCTGAACCAGGGTGACATTCCAAAATATTTCCCCTTAGTCTGTCCTGTTGGAGTGTTCCTTAGACCCTTTCTTGTGATGCAGCCTCTGTCAAATGGTGAGCATAGCACAATTTATGATTTGCAATTCAAAGCAAGCATTTCCAGGTTTGGGGGTTATTTGCAAGGCTTTAGGTAAACCAGAAGAGAGAGCTTGACATGAGACCTTGGTGTGGTTATTTTGGAAATGGTAGAAAAGGTTCCTCTGTCCTGAGGTAGGAATAAAGCTGTTGGGAGAACTGCAAAACCAAATGGGAAGCTGCTATTTTAGAATGTCTCAGTGCCTCTCTAACCAAGGAAAGTTATGAAACCCAGAGAGAATATTTTTGGACAGGCTCCAATATTTGTCAGACAGGGAATTTCTTTGGAGAACAATTTTCCAAAAGGTATTAAATCAGTTGCCTCAATTTTTGCTTGTAGCGGTGTTTGGTTAAATTCTGTTTCTACTTTGTAGGCACAGAGAAGTTCTCCAGCTTTATAAGGAGAAAAAAAATGTGACCCCTCTCCAGATTAGGCCAGACAAAATTATAGTACAACATGCACCTTTTTGAAAAATGGGTAAACTTTTGTTGTGTGAACTCTGGATTCAGTTTTAAAACATGGTGTTCTATGCTGCTGTCAACAATAGCATAATTTTTCTGGACTGCAGTAGCTTATGGGCTGGCACATGATTATTTCCATTAAGTATCCTTCAGTGACAGCCTAAGAACATAAGTCTCTTCAAATGATTACTGAATTTGCCCTTTAGCCTATTTAAGTGGTTTTTTTAATTATTATTATTTCTCATCCCTTTTTGCCTTTGATCTGAAAGTTTAAAATATATACACTTCAATTTATTTTTTTTTTTAGTGGGGAAAAGGACTGTTAAATCCCTTTCCCTCTCTGCTGCTTGATCCAGTAAGTCCCTACTGTGAAGAGCTCCTGTGCTTTATTTGAATATGTGTCTCTGGGTGTTTTGCAGAATAGACCTTGATGTTGCTTGGTTCCTTCAAACTGCCTGTAACAATGCAGTGTTAACAGTGAGGTTACAGCAACTTGTTAGGGAAGAAGTTGATGATGAAATATCTTTGCTTGGAGTTTTAAGAAATTGTATGGTTTAGAGAAAGATGGAATTAATCTCATCCTACAAAAGAAGGATGTTAGATTGATCTGTTCCCAAAAGGACCTATAAATCTAAGATTCATGAAGCAAGGTTTGTTTCTGTTACTACTGAAGGATCTTATATGATTTAAACATTACTTTTTCAACAAAAATTTCTTTTCATTAGGGTTTTCAAAGAGTCAGTGAACAAACAGTCAATGAACCTAAGACATCAGCAAAGAATCCTGGTATTGGCACTGTATTTTATGAATGAAAATTTACTTTATTTAGAAGGAATTATCATTGCGTTCTTTAGATATGATAAATGATGCTTTAAAAAAAGTCAAAGTGAATATCCTGGCATCATTAGGGACCCTGGAAAAAGTTACACCTCTCTTCATAGTGCTGTTGCTACTGTTTTGGGCATATTTCTAAGCCATTTTCCAGTATTTACCAAATACTAGTTAACTTATTGTCATGTTTGTTTATAAAACAAGTGTACAGGTTGCATACTGGTACTGAGACTGAAATTGTAGGACTGATGGGAATTCCCTAGGAATAAAAGAACCAGCAAAATTCTATCCCATACAGGGCCTTCATGGAGGAAGGTTACAGTTTTCCTTCTCTTATGTAGGTGTCCCGATCTGTATAATGTTTGGAAAACATTTCAACATACTTAGTGGTTGGGGTTCCCATGTACAGAGCGGTGGCATTACTTGTATTCTTAGGGCTTGTATGGAGGTTGATGATTTACAGTCAGAGGTCATAAAGATTACTAGTGAAGGTATGCATGTAGGTATTCTGACGTGGTTGGAGAGAATCTTTTAAATTGTGTAATCACATAACAGTTTCAGATAAAGACATTCCATTCACATGTCATTTAATTAAAAACCCAGGTTCTGAATTCCTTAGGTTCTGTGTTTGTGTTGTGTGGTGTCCACAGAAATAAAAATATTACTAAGTACTGCAGTCTGTTAAATGGGAGTGGGAGAGTTTTTCCTCATGTATTGGTGTCTTGTTTCATTTGTGTTAGGGGTTAAGACTTCCAACCTAATTTCTGCATAAAAAGACCTACTGGGAAATGGATGGTTATAATATATTTGAAAATATCCCCCCTGCCAACAGCTATGGAGTTTACCACTAACCTTCTCTTTTCTCTTTCCAGATCTTCTTGGATCCCTGTGTAACTGATCGATGTTTCTGAACTCTTCCTTGCAAGCTTCACAACCAGCCAAAATGAAGCTGAAGCATAACATCAACCCTGTTCTGCTGCAGTTTATAAACTTTATAATCTTGTTGTACACCTTTGTAACATACATTCCGTGGTACATATTTTCAGGATCGAGGCATGCTATAGCAAAAGCCAAGCAGGTTAAAGCTAAACCTGTGAATAACAAGCCTGGGGGTGCATACAGATCTGTTAACAGTCTACATTGCTTAGCTTCAGTTTTATATCCTGGGTGTGATACACTCGACAAAGTTTTTAAGTATGCTAAAACTAAATACAAGGACAAAAAACTTTTGGGAACACGTGAAATCCTGAAGGAAGAAGATGAAATCCAGCCGTCAGGAAAAGTTTTTAAAAAGGTAAGTCTTTTTACCGTCTGCCTTCAAGAATTTTTTCAAAGTGTGTTTACTTTCTTTTGCGGCACTTCTAGTTCAGTAAAGCAAGTCAGGGGAAAAATTAAGTTTCTCTACTTAGATTAGGTAGTCGTGAAAAGATTTAAATTATCTAATTCCCAATCTTACATAACTCCGCGTTTAAAACAAATCTAAACCTTCTTTTTGTGTTCTTGAGTAGATACCCTTTTTTATGGTTTCAGCCAAAGAAAAAACACAAATGTGTTTTAGGTATTTGTTTTTAATATTCAGCTGATGATGTAGCTGGCTTTAAAGTTTTCCTTTTAGGTGAATTAAAAAGAAAGTCTCCCTTTGTTATTCTGAACTATAATCAGGTAAATATAGTAAAATTACTGGATGTCTATACTCAGATGTGCATTTCCAGTAAACTTAATTGTAACTTAAGGATTGACTGTTTTGCCCTGTGAATTCAGTGCTTAAATGAAATTTTTGTTTGAAGAACGATTCCACAGACTTTAATTGGAAGTCTCTCTCTCTTTTTTTTTTTTTCCCCCCCTCCCAGTCTCCTTTAAGGTGAACTACTTCTCTGCTAATCTGTAACCATAGTGTGTGTGTGAGATGTAATTTCAATATAAAACTCTGTTGTTCAAGGGGCTGACTTTTTATAGTCTTTTAAGTTCAGACTTGTATTGTCATTTGCTGCTTTGTATGTGTTCAGAGGCATTTAAAAATGCAGTTTTGCCTGAAGAAGCAAGTCAAGATATCATTAACAGGATACGTGTATATGTGCAGTTATGTGTTAAAGGTCTGCACTTCTGTGTTAGTAGTTGTTAACTACACACGATAAAGACTATTTTTAGTTAAGATTAGTTTTCCTGCAGAAGAAAAATTTATCTCTTCATATAATAAAGGATTCCATAAATACTGATAGTTTTAATTCTGATATAGAAGTATAATGTTTAAGTAGAATTTGGTTAATATCACGATATATAGCAAAGTTTAGTTCTGTTAAAATCTTTATAAAAACTTTAATTGTTAGTGAAACTTCCTCCCAGCTATGGAGTTAATTTTTCAGTATGAAGGAAATGCTGGGAGAAATGGGTACATGTAATCTTTCTTGATGCATGTTTTGCTGCCTTGTTGCCCTATAAAGAAACAGAAAGTTCATGTTGTATAAAGTGGACTTCTGAGCACAAATCAGAATTTTGGCTGCCTGTGATCTGCACTCTGTTTTTTAAACATAATTAGTAATGTAAGGCTTAAGAACTTAGGAGTTTTAGCCTTTTCCCTTATGCAAGCAAAGTGTTCTGAATATTGGAAAGCTGAAGAATGTTGGTGTTGACCTGCTTAAATAACTTATTTCTAAGTATTTAGACTTAGAAATTACTTGAGTTAGGTAACTGTCTAAGCTTGACACAACAGTTTATTATAGTTGATTGCCATACTTGCCCTCGTGTTACTTTGTTCCAAGTTGTGGCATTATCACGTAAGTCTAAAATTTTTTTAAATTCCATTAAGGAATACGATGTTTCTTAATACCTCATAACATGTTTTACCGAGTGAGGAAAATCTGAAAATTGCACAAGATACCTTGTTTATTCTAAACGTCAGGGTTCTTTTCCTTTGATTTTTGCCTTTCATACTATGCATGTTTTTATTGCCTGGTTCCCTTTAGTGAAGGCAACTTGTTGAGGTTTATTTGGTGCAACTTTTCGAAAAGGTGCATGACAACTTTAATTCTTAGATATAATGCATATAATTTCTATACCTTACGGGAGTTGCAGAACTTGTTATTTTTTCAGAAATTGAGCAGAGTGGTAGGAATGATTGATGCATTTTTCTGAGGTCACCTGCAAGTCAGAGGCAGATCTGAATGTAGATCATGGGTCTGCGTACTGAGTTGCATTACCTATTAGAAGATGTTTCTCTGTGCAAGTTGCAATGGGCTAGATTAGCCTAATTAATGAATCAGTAATGGGGTAAATATGTATCTCAAAAAAGTAAAATATTAAGCTTCTCATTCTTGGGAGAACTAGGTGTGCTGACACTTCTAAACTCATTTAAAGCTAGATATTTAACATCTTTAAGATCAGATACTATGTTAATTTATTCTGAGAACAATGATATCCCAGATGATCTGCAATATCTTGAATTTTTATGATATTATATTGTTAAAAATATTTATTCCTGTGTAGTTGCCAAAGTAGCAGAAATTCATGGATGTTAATAAAATACAAATACTTGCTTCTGCTCAATTTGTTGCATTTTATACTATTTCATATGTAGTTATTCTGTTTCCTTCTGTAGTGTCCTTTAATACATGGATTGGAAAGCATACTTGATATTAATTTCATAAAATACATATTTAAGTCAGGATAAAATAATGTTGAAAATACTTCAGAGATTAAGATGTAATTAATTGGAAAAATTAATTAATTTAAGCAGAGCTTAAATTTTATGATGCCTGAAAGATGAATTTTATTCTGCTGGTTGATTATTTTATGTCACCTTAGTTATAGGTTATATTGTCATGTGCTTGCTTTTATATATGTTGATATTTGGATTTTGCTTTGTGTGTGTGCTTTTGTTGTTTGGTGGTTTTTCGGGGGGAGGGGGGAGTTGTTTGTTTGTTTGGGGGGGTTGTTTGTTTTGTTCTGTTTTTTAGAAAGGATTTGTAACCAAGAACAGAATTAATGAAAACATAATAAATAAGACATAGTGGGGAAAAGTAAACACAATTTTGGTAGGGGAAAGTGATGCATATAAAGCCTGTGAGACTTGAGTGAAACAGTAAGTACCTGGGCAAGCACTTGGGAGTTCAGAATGTTACTCGTTATAGCTGGCGACTGAAACTCGCTGTGAAGTTGCAGGAGGGTGCTTGCCTTGCCAAGTCATTGGACAGTCAAAGAGTAGCTTATGATGTTGAAAAACATAGGGTGCTATGTAAATAATATTTTAGGGTGGGGTTTTTCAGAAGGGTTCGGCTGCAATCCATGTTTTCATGTGAAAACGGCCAAAAATGGACATTTCAAATAACCTCTTTTGTATTATTTTTAATATACTTTCTATAAGGAAATGTATTTAATTTGTGATCACTGGTTTCCAAATTGTAGCTAAGGTTATTCAAGCCTTATAAGCTACTTTTAGGAAGACTCTGAAAGGTAACTGAGGTCAGGTAGTTTAATGACTCTGCATCTGCCTGCAACTTTTTTCAGAACATTTTATGACACTGTCACACTAAAAATTTGAGTATGATTGCCCTAAAACCCAGATTAAAGAAATGTTCACTGTGCAGCATGTATTTAGTATCTATACTTCACTGGATTTCCAAATACTAATACAGTACTGATATTTAATAATATTTCCCAATGCATTAGATCGGTACCTCCAGTATTTTTAATCACTTGCAGTGTCAGTGTGTTGAGGTGGTGGAGCACTGGGGGGCAGTGTTTTTCTGTTCAATGTGGTACTTCGGAGTTAACAGCCAGCGATGCGCTCTCTTCTGATTTCGTGTTTGGTTTTGTGTGTCTGTTTAATCAGTTCTCAAGAATCTTAACTTCTTGGGCCCATCTCTTGCAGACTCTTGGACAGTTACTTTCTTTACATGTGTAAGTAGTTATCTAGCAGAATTAAGTTCTGAAAGTTGTAAAATGAAACGTGTGTGAACGTTTAAAAGATTGTGGCACTTAATGTCAGTCTTAACAGCTGTTTACAGGAGAAACTGTGCATTGGAAAATATTAGTGAAAGCTACTGAGGGAAGGGCCGGGAAGGGAGATGGATTAGGAGACATACTCAAACGTAAGGAAGGATGAGAGAAACCGTAACCTGCTCTGTGTCCTGCGAAAGAAGCGCATAGAGAAATGCGGAAGAAAGGGACCGAGGGACAGGGGCAGTGTATGATGTCGTAGGGATGGAACAGAGAAGAAACTGGGCGTGAGGAGGAAGGGAACATGGATTTAAATTTAAATACACGGAAGGCGGTAGGAAAACTGAAACTCAAAAGAGCTGCATTGAAAAAGGTCTTCTCATCTGTTTTCACATGTCAGTGTTCTTCAGAAATATATTTATAGATCTAGAAGAATAACTAGCAGTGCTGTACTTTCTGTGGATTTTCTAACCTTTTAAGAAAGGAAAGCACCAATAAGGCATTCTTTCAGTACTTTATATCAAACTTGTTTAAGCAATGAAGATAAATTATTTAAGAGAATAAAAAAAGGGGGAAAAAGCAGAATCACAAGTGTTACTCAGAAAGATCCATTTTTGATCCTTTAATGATTTATTATTCCAACTTTAGTGAGTTATGGAGTAAATAGTGGAAATTACCAAAATGTATTCATTTGCAGATTGGCACACTTACCAGAAACAGTAACCAGAATTTGCTTGTATTTCTTGGGCTAATTATTTAAGTGCAGTATCCCTGAGGTCATGCTGTAGGTAGGGTATAATGGTGGAAAGGATGTTGCCTGATTCACTGCTATAAATTGTTTTCAACTGATGAGCTTGTCAAGAATTTCCAAGTTTGCCAAAAATACTGTGTTTGGGGGAAAAATGTCCCAAATTGGAATTGACATTCCAAATTACTGAAATTCGGATGGACAGGAAGAGGTGCAATGCTTTCTTTGGAAGCAGTAGAAGTTTTCCACACCAGAAATACCTTGATGTGTTGAAACCAAAAGGAGTCCCCAGGTCGTCCTCCTCCCTGGGGGGCTGTGACCATGAGTGCTGGTGCTGGTGTGAGCCCCCTGCCTTGCGATGCTGCAGATGTTATCAGGCAGCAATTCTGCTGTGATCCTCTCACCCATTAGAGCAGAGACATTCAATGCCATCTTTCTTCACCAGTAAGGATTTTTGGCTCTGAAATGGCCTATTTGCCAATGAAGCTGAGTTTCTGTAAATAAAACAGGAAAACCTGAGCAGATATTTGTGTGAGAAATGTTTATTTTCTGGTGAAATTGTGAGGTATTGCTATTGTTGGCAAGTGGTGTTTTTTGGTTTTGTTAAATGATACTTTCCCATAAAGACATTTGTGAAATTTCCATGTAGCTGCACATGTACCTGTCCTGAGTTAAGAAAGATTTTTCCCGCTAAACAAGTAGGTTAATGAGCAATATGCAGCAAGGCTGTAGTAGGTACAACTCAGTTATGCAATAGTAAACTTCAGCACATTGAAAAAGTGTTTTCATAAAAGAAATCTACTGGGTTTTATTTTTCTATTGAATATTTTTCTATTGAAGGTTGAAAGAGATTTTCAAATTCATTTTATTAAGGAAGCGGATGTGGAAATACAGACTTATTAGAAATATAGTTACATGCCAAAAAGTTGTAAGAATTTGCAGCCTGCAAGTTTGAAATTTAGTTGAAGTTGATAAATGTGGAAAACAGAATGGGGGAGGAGGCAGAAGTTTGCTTTTCTAGCTTTTTTTTGGTTTTAGTGTTTGCTTGCATTTATTACTAATGCTATGTAGCCAAAGGAAATGTCTGAAATAGTTGACTAATAAAAATTGTATTTTTCAAAATTGTCCAGGTGCTTGTATAACTAGATATAATAATTTAGAGTCTGCATTTTCAGTGTAAAACTTTATACTGCATCTGTATATGAAAATATCTAGGATACCCTCAAAGAAATACCCTGTCAGTCAGGAAGAAGATGGTACTGCAAGGTGCAAGTGCACACATAGAAATCTATGATAGATAGTGACCTGTAAATTCAAGTCCAATTTTACTGTGCACTGGCTTTCCCATATAGAAGAAAAGTGAGATTGCTTAATGTTTTCCACATGACTTTTCAGTACTGAGACTTGCCAGTAATTTCCAGTCTAGTCGTGAGTCGCACTTTTGCTTAACAGTAAAAAAGGGCAAAAAGATTACTCCTTTTCCCCCGACATTTGTTTCGGAACAAAGAAAGGGATTTCACAATTTCTGACTGAGGACCCATTGATATACTGCTTTCTGGATTCCAGTTTCCCTTTTTTCCTTTTTTTTCCTTTTTTTTTTTTTAAACAAGAATGGACACCTACCTACCATATTTGTGTAGGAGAATTGTAGCCCAAATATCTGAGAAAGCAAATACAGAGAAAGTGTTGTACCTAGCTAGTGCTTGTCACTCTTTACTTAAAATAAAACAAACCTTTGTAAAAACTGGAAGTTGTGTGGGTCACATAACCGTGGCCTTTTGGAGGGCTTCTGGAGTTAAGAAATATGGTGGGAATCACGTGCTTTCCTAATGTGAAAATAGAAACTGAGGTGATAACATGTGTGGAGATATTGCAGTATTTGTGTTGGAGCTTCCACAGTCCTTGTAGTTTTTGGCAAGAAAATTATTCATTATCTTGAGTAAACTGCTGTTATAATTCAAGCAAACATTAATTCAAATGTCTGTGGTTACTTCATGTAGATGAAGATGTAGTAGGACGTGTTAAGGACTTTCGTTTTCTAAATTTAATTTATTATTCTTACTAGGTCATCCTTGGCAAGTACACCTGGCTTTCATATGAAGATGTATACATTAAAGCTGTTAATTTTGGAAATGGCTTAGCTGTGTTGGGTCAGCAACCAAAGACTAACATTGCTATCTTTTGTGAGACTAGAGCTGAGTGGATGATTGCAGCACAGGCCTGCTTTATGTGCAACTACCAGCGTAAGTATGCGTCTTTCCTAAAATTTTTATGTATTTTGATCTTACAACACAGTCTGAAAATAAACCTTTTTCTTACCTCACATTACATACTAAGAAAACTTTATGTAGAGTTATATAGAACATTTAAAATTACAAGTGAAAAATACTACATAAGGTAGAGACTGTGCACTTTGTAGTGTTTTGCTTTACTGAATAGAGAAACCTATATCTGTTTGCAGATGGAGTATGATTTGAGCTTGCTCAATGAATTTGTGAGAGGTTTATTTTCTTTTAAGCTCAAATCAGTACAGATTCCCAAGTTTCTATAAACAAACAAACAAAAATCACACATGAATTCATTGACTCAGTTTCAGCAGTTGACGTCAAACCTCGATCTGTGCCTGCAAGTTCTGTTTTAACTGGATATTTTGTTAGTTCTTCAGTTTTGGTTTTAGTTAGAGTTTATTATATTGTTATCTCTAAAAAGTGAAAAGGAATGAGTAAGTCCTGATCTTATTTTGGAGAGCTCTTTTGAATTAAAAAGTTGCTTGGTAACTCCTTTACCAAAGTGCAAGTCATTCCTTGACACAAACCTTAGGCTGAACTGATATTTTTTTTTATGTTTTGCTTTCTTCTCTCCACCTCTTAACTTTCGCATAGTCCATTGCATGTCATTTAATATAGACTAATTTAACCTGAATGCTGATTTGAGATTGAGTCTTAGTTACTACTTCAGAAACCTTAAGACTCTGTTTTGTTTTGGTGATCTTTTTAAAGGCAGTCTCAGTCTTATTCATAGTATCTGTTTTAATCGTGCACTAACTGGATCTTTAACCCTGGCAATGGACTGAGACTAGATTCACTGACCTGGAGGATACTCCTCATTTTCTCATCGAGTCACCGTAAGAGAAGTGTCTTTTGGGCTGTTCTGTCCAATGACAATCTTGGTCCCATTCTGTAACTTCTAGTTACTTATCTGTTAGTCATCTGCTATTTTATTGTGGAGACCACTAACTGTGTTGGGGCAGAGCTGAGTCTGCTGAAGGCAGAGAAGGTGCTTTCTTGGCAAGATGTGTGCGCTGGGCAGTTGCAGGCTGTGTTGGAGGTGCCTTTGAGGAGTGGCAGAAGAGGGCAGGCTGGCTGGAGGTGTCCTTGCACAGCTTCACGACACAGGGCAGAGACACATGCCAAGCCAAGTCTGCTCCCCTTTCGCTCTAGGTCACATAGAGGGCCACAATGGTGTCTGAGGTACACCTCTGCCACAGTGGAAAACCTGGTGTATACCCTAACCTCATCTGAGCCCAGGCACAAGGACATGCCTAGGAGCTCTAGGCCTATTTTTCTTGCTGAGAAAACTCTTGAGTGCTGATCTCAACTTGGTATAGGAATTGTTTTCAAATGTCTGTTTCATCATTACTCCTTAATATGTCATTCACCTAACTGTAAGCCCAACCTGGCTGGTTTCTGTGAGGCTCTCGGGGACATTTCTCATTTTCCCACAGGGCACTCTAGAAGCTGCTGTTCTCATGGGCTTTGGCCTCTTCTCTCCCATGCCACATTTACCCTCCGTCAGTAAGAGATGGGCTGTAAAAGCCAGATGTGCAGGAATTCCTGATTTGCTCTCTACCTACACTAAAGATGTATACCAGTTAGACTTTCTTCAGATTTTGGACGCAAGCCTAACAAGAAATTTGTATCTTAAATGATCCCTCTCTGCTCTAAGCATGAGTCTGTTTCAGTTTGAGAAGCCATACATTCATGAGTATATAGCAGTTTTTATTTAAGTAAATCTTTACTGCAGATCTGTGTGGTTATTTTGTGTATACCCTTAACATTGTATTGTTCCCTCAGTTTTAAGGGTGGAGTTGGTTACAAGATGTGCTGCCCTAGCCCATGCCATATCGAAATTAACCTGCTTGCCTTGTATGATAAGTGGCTCTGTGGACAAGGAGAGAGTGGATGTTGCATACTGTGACTTTAGCAAGGCCTTTGACATAGTCTCCTGTAGTACTTGTACAGCCAAACTGTTCAGATAAAGACTGTATAAGTAGATGATAAGATGGATGGAAAATTCATTGGACTGTTGGCTGAAAGGATTGTAATCAGTAGGCCAAAGTCAATTGCCAGCCCTCAGGGATTAATACTGAGTCCCATACTGTTTAATGTCTTTATTGAAAGCCTGGACGATGGGAGAGAGTGCAAACACAGGAGGTCACAGCCTGTAGGAATTTGGGGGGGAGCAGCCAGTACACGGGAGGGCAGGATTGATGTACAGAGGGGCCCGTCAGCTGGAAAAGTGAGCTGTCTGGAGCCTCATGGAGTTCAGTGAAGGCAATTACAAATTCATGTGTGTGTGTGCTGAATACCTCATGCACCAGTATAGGCTGGGGGAAAACTGGTAGAGAGCAGATTTACAGAAAAGGACCTGGGGCTTCTGGTGGACCAGTCAACCACGAGTACGCAGTGCCTTCTTGCAGTGAAGGTAAATGACATCCTGGGTGGTAGTAGCACGAGTGTAGCAGGTAGGTCCGGGGAAGTCATCCTTTTCCTCCTTTTGGACACTGATAAGACCACTTCTAGAGTACTGTGTCCAGTTTGGGGCTTCCCAGTAGGAAAAAAAGCCATTGACATACTGGAGCGAGTCCAGTGGAGGGCTGCCAAGATGCTGAAGGGTTTGGAGAACGTGACATGTGAGGAGTGGCTGATAGAGCAGGGTCTGTTCAGTATTAAGATGAGTGAGTTGAGATCTTGTTACTGTTTAAAACTATATAATGAGAAGATGAAACCAGATGCTGCTCAAAGGTGTGTTTTGATAAGACTGGAGGCAACAGGCACAAGTTGAAACACAGGAAAATTTGATGAGGTATTAGGACAAACTTTTTCATTGTGAAGGTTGTTAAATACCAGAACAGGAGCCTGGAATGGTTGTGAAATCTCAATCCTTGGAGATACTTAAAAGCAGACTAGCAGTGGTCCCGAGTACCCTGCTGTAATGAACTGTTTTGTGGAGGTGATCTTCCTAGATGCCGTCCAGCCTAAATTCAGTGGTATTTTTGGTCCTTTCTTCAGTGAGTGACTGCTGCTGACTTGCCTACCAGAGCAGAGATATGCGCAGGCTGTTCTCAGATGAGATGCCTGTGTTGCTTTTAAACTATATGTCTCATAATACACCATGTCAATTCCCTTTTATCGCTTTTGGGATCTGTTAGATTCCTAGTGACTATCCTGGGAATAAAATGCAAAGGCTTATGTCCGTAATTGTTTCCTTGGAAGTGAAGTACACTTACAAATCCTAGAAAGATTTTGTAATTTGAGGAGAAGAAAAAAAGTGTCTGAGAGAGTGGATGGATGTCGTGTGCAGAATAGTATGCATGTGTTTTTGGTTTTGTTAGATTAATGTTTTAAATTCCCTTATTGAGACGTGCTTCGGCACACTGTCTGACGTGGCATTTTGCATCTAAGCTGTATGTCATCTTATGCGAACTTGGCTGACTTGTGTATTGGCAGACGATGATATTACCATGCAGTATTCACGGTCGGTTTGCTGAATGAATTATAAAATTCAGATGATGTTGAAGAAGTAGTGGGGCAAGACACTGCTAAATGACTTATATTAGCATTTTTCAGTTTACAACAGCTAACTGCTGTGGTAGTGTGGTGACATTTGTTCCAAATGTGAAATGTGATAAATCTGATGGTTTGTGCCCAGAACTGATGTCAAGAGAGCAGGGTCTATGCTTCATGCATAATGTTTGGAGATAATGACTTTTATACTACAGAACTAAAATGATGAAAGTAATTTTTATGTTGTGATTACTTGCACAAACAAGTGGCTTCATGAGTAGAAATGCTTGCTTGATTGTAAATGTTATATTGTTTGAAGCGGTTTAAGTCTTGTATTTGCAGGATGTAGAGTGAGATTGCGAGTTCAAAAATGGAAAAAAAAGTACTAACATGAAGACAGATTTTCTTCCGAAGTATCTCCTCTTCATCTGTTTGAAGAGCTCTTCATCATTGTGGGCAGATAAAACACCTGAGTGTATAACCAAATAATGAAATAAATAGGAAAGGTTATGTTTTATTTTTCAATCTTGCCTTTCTGAAGCTTGAGCAGAAGTGGTTGTGTCAGAATTGATTTGGCTGAAGCTTTTAAAGGTATATTTTGCTTTCTATTTTTGATGTATGGTGGATGCTGAAATAGTTTAACATTTTAGTTACATTGATAATAAATGGCAAGAGTTCGGTTTGTTTCTTTAGGGCAAGGCTTTGTTCTTGTATATTAGGTGGCAAATTTGGTGGTGTTGAGAGTTTTCTTTTTGTCAGACTTTTAGAACAGTATTCCTAGCAGAAATTCAGATATCAAAGACTCACTTGTACTATTGCATGTGTAAAGATGAACACAAAAGATAATCCTATCTTGGTATGTTTTCAAGAGACTGAGGAGAGCAAAAAAATTGCCTAAGCTTTCAGATTTGCCTGAAAAAGTTTTGGGTACCACTGTGGAGAAGTGAGAATTTCACAGATCAGAGTCATTGCTCAGGTTCTTTTCTCTCCATGACATACACCATCGTATAAATAGTATATCTCTCTTTGGCTCTGTCATATAGCTCTAAGTTGTCCTTGATGTACTTACTTGTAGATGAGTTATTAACTACATAAATGGTTATTTCAGAGATTATACTTTTCTTTCTGGGTGGTGTGTCGTTGCGGTTGTGCTTCTTGGCTTGGGGAAACTGAATTTCTGCTAGATGTTTGTCTAACAGGGGTCACTGCCGTAAGTAGAGAGAGCTCGTGGGAACTAGTAGAGGCACTCCTCTGGACTTTGCTCCCACCAAATTAAAGAAAACACAGTGCATGTGCATTTGCCCTGCAACAGTTCAGAACTATGATGGACTGTTTTAACAAGGAAAAAATAAGTAGAGGTCAACTATTTACTTTTCTGTGTAAGAAAACTGCTTTTGAGTTCTTCCTTAGTATGCTGCACTGGGTTAGTAGCTCCATGGATTTCAAATCTTAGAATACAACGAATTTTATTTTATTTTTATTTTTATTTTTGCTGCAGTGAACATAGTATAGTTACAGCCCTGACGTACAATGGGGTGTCTTGTTTTAATAATTACGTTGTTTAAATATTCAGCTAAATCCAGACCAAAATACAAAACAGATTCAGATACCTAATGTGACACAGCTTCCAGCACTGATGTTGTAATTATAAATGATTGTGTTGACTGACCTTACAACTTTTTTGAGATGCCCCTGATTAGCATTCTGCTTGGAAAATAGGAAATTACTGGTTTTTTGAGAGCAATACCTCTCGTCCTTTTTGAGCTGTCTTTTTCTTCACCAGTCTGTTCCTGTCTTCTCATGCAGTTCCCATAAAAATGGCAGGAAATTAAACATGATTTTAAAATTGTTAATATGAGATAAGTGTGGTTTAACACTCATATCACTAATGAGCTGTCCTTAAATACAGGAAATGGTGTTTCTAATACTCAATTTCCTAAATATTTTCTTCCCTTGCTATTCTGTATTCTCATGATGTCAGTTCAATGTCTAATGATTATGGCGATTAAACCTTTATCACGTTGTTTTAAACAGATGGAAGAATACAATAGTCACAGATTTATTACCAAGTGTGAGAATCTGCTGATGACATATATTACAATGTTACAATAATTTCTTATTAGCAGTCAATTGTAAAAGGCTAGCAACAGAGCATATGAATTCTGAAAAGAGAAGTCACGTAAATGAAAGCAGTTTTTCCTGTGTACAACAGGACCGTTAAACAGTGTATTAAACTGAGATCAGATGCTTACTTTTAAAATGGTAAAAGCCATGAAGGTACAAGAGTAGAAGATAATTACATAGGGTAATGTGGTTTTGGTACCTCTAGTTAGACCTTGAAAAATAGTAAACAGTCACATAGATGATGGTTGTTCTTTATTCCTTCTGGGAGTAACTGAAAATTATGCTGTATTTAAATCCATGTAATACGTGGGGTTTTTGTTTTGTTTTGTTTTTTTTTTGGGGGGGGGGGTGTGCTTATTTAAAGCACGAAACTATACCACCTTTGTATTAGTTGACAAGTATTTTTACTGTGTTACCTAACTTAGTATAGGTTAATCTCAGCCCTTTATTGTAAACTATACTTGAAAATGTAACTCAGAGATTCACCTTTTTTTTTTCCTGTTTTCTGTTTCAGTTGTTACTCTGTATGCTACTCTGGGAGGCCCAGCAATAGTACATGGGCTAAATGAAACGGAGGTGACCACCATCATTACGAGTAAAGAATTGATGCAGACAAAATTGAAGGTCAGAATGCTGTTCTTTGTCTCTCTCTTTCTGGTGTATCTGTTCATTATTGTTAGAAGATCTGATTCCATTGTACAGATCAATGATTTATTGCCTTTCTATAGGGCAGACACTTCTTTTACAATAAGATTTATCTATCTGTCTTCATGTAGAGAAAAAACGATACTTAGCCTTCAGTGGGATTTAGGCTCCTCAATGACGATGGAGAACAGGATGAGCAGTTTGCACTATTGAAGAGCTGCAGTGCTGCCTGGAACAACATCTTTGCAAGAAACAGCTGTGGTTTCTGGGTGGATTTAGTGCCTATAAATTTAACAGTTGAAGCAAATGGGAAGAACAGAAAAACGTATAAACTATATATGAGTACCTAAATGTCATCATCCTCTTGATTTATTGTTGGATGTTTTCCTAGCAGAGAATGGCTCTTAAATGTCAAGACAGGTGCTCAAAGAGTTAGAGCTGTTTTCCAGTGCAGCGGAAAGCTTATTAAACATTAGAACCGTCAAAAAACTTTTTTGACTTACTGACCCAGATTGAATACGCAAGTGGAACAACTAGTCTGCATGAGTTTCATCATTGTGTATTTTGGAGGAACTAGACCTTTCATGTAAGGGAATTGTTTTAATGCAAAACTGTGCACTATTGCTGAATTTTGAATGAGAATTTCCCAAACCTTTTTTTCTTTTAAGTTACTAGAATGACAGGATACATACAATGCACACTTATTTCAGCTTGCAGTAAGAGAATTAATGTCTTCTGCTAGAGATGATAATCATCTATTCTTCCACTAGAACATTGATAAATGTTTTGCAACCAGCATTTTGCTCGAAATGCTTAACTAGTGCTTAACTAATAATTTTCCATATTTTTGCTAGCTGTTGCTCATTTTAAATAGAATAGTAATCAAGGAGCAACATAAGAATTATTGTGAGCTCAGTGTCACCAGTTTCTCTCAGTGTTCTATGAGAGTGGAAAGTCAATTATCTCTACAAATCATTGCAGTCTTATTTGTGGGCTTTTCTAGAAATAAGACCCAGATCTGTAAATGGTTGGAAAAGTTTTTGGACTTGTAATTGGAAAGTTCAATCAGTCCTGCAAATCTGAATGTGGAAAGTTTCAAGCTTTGCAGCTGTTTGAGCTAGAGTAGTTTATCCTCTGATATTTTAAATCCTCAGATATTTTATGTCAATGATTTTTTTTTTTTTTTTAATGTATACAGTAGATAGTGGTGGGTTTTGTGTCTTTGTGTGGTGTTTTTTTTTTATTGACATAAACCTCATGTTTGATTTCTGAATGCATGTTCATTTTCACAGGAAATTGTTTCTCAAGTTCCACTGCTGCGACATATTATTACAGTGGATGGCAAACCAACGACATGGTCAGAGTTTCCCAAGGGTGTCATTGTTCACACTATGGCTTCTGTGCAAGCTATGGGGGCCAAGGCAGATACTGGTAGGTTATCTCTTCTTTCCGTTTGGATCATCTCATTTGTTGTCCTACTTTGACTCTGTTGAGCAAACTTGGGAAAATTGCAGACCTCAAAAAATTATGCAGTGATTAACCTTTTTATCATCTGCTTTTTCTTTAAATAAAATCTGTGGGGTGTTTTGGTTTGGTTGTGGCTGGATTTTGGGATGTGGGGTTTTGCTTTGTTTTTCAACAGAGTAAAATGCTTTTAATAAAAACTGTCTTCCCCACAACTAAGTGCCACATGTTGAAAAGTACTTTTTAGTATAAGCATTCTTGTGATCAGACACATTAAAACCAGGTTATTCAGAGCACACGGAGAGAATTATTGTGCGTTTTATAGCAAAAGACATCAGTAATTTCCTGCCATTAAGTTTTGTTAAATTCGCAAATAACAAAATGTAAAATAGCCATTTAAATCTGATAGAACTTGGTCACTTTTATTGCATTACTGAAAGCATCAATCTACTATGTAAATTTCTTGAAATCTATTTCCGATCTGTGTAATATTTTTGGAATTAAATTCAGAATTTCAGAAGGTGTTTTGACTATTACCGTAACAAATCTTTATTCTTAGCTCTGAAGAGCTGTTAAACCTAGAATCTTAAGATTTCATTATATTCAGTAGCTGCTTTCTTCTGTTCTTATTCTTTATGTTTTCAGAATCTTTTAACCAGTGAAGAGGTATGAATGTTGGATTGAATTTTGTTTTAGGAGTAGAATAGGTGGTTAATCCATCTGCTGTTGATGTTTGGGGAACGGCAGGTTTGCTCCCAACATCGTACCCTCTCAATTTCTTTATAAGATGGGTTTGCCTTTTTGATGTACCAGTTTTATGTACTATTAAAACTATTTCAGATAACACCAACAGAAAAAATTACGGATATAATTCATGAGCTCCTGGAGATTTGCTAATCTATGTGCTATATAAAAAGGTGTCTAATCCTTTGTTCTTCAATCTTCTAAATATCACATACTATACACTATAATAAAGGAACATTATTTTTGTCAAGTTAACCATTAATAAATTGTGGAATACTACAACGAATTGTTTATGGTCAAGCATGTTAAATTAATATAATATTTAGTACATGAGATGATGCTGATGTGTTTCCTCCTCTGTGTTGTTCATCGTACAAGATGGACAGGTTTCAGTGAGTGGGAAAATATTAAATATGCTTTCAGTCTTTTCATTCAGCATGTATGTTGTGCCACATGTATTGCACGTTACGCAGTTTTTCCTCTGAATAAACACAATTGGTTTTGTATTTTCCTGCTCTCAGTGCAAGTATTAAAAAAAAAAAAACAAACCAACACTTAATCCCATTAAAGCTATTGAACTTCCTTTAAATATTTATAGAAATTGGACCTCATCTTGGCTCAGCAGTGCCTTGCTGCAGGTGTTGCAAATGAGGCAGCATGTTGTTCCCCTGCTAGGGAGCGCGTGAGAAAGTACCTTTGCAAACAGGGATTGACCCTGTGGCAGCGTGGAACCAGTGCAGCATACCTTCCTAAGGATCTGAAGCTCAGTGGCATTTTGGAGAAACCAAAGCTCTGCCTGTTTTTCTCCCCTCTGTAGGAATATGGGAAACAGAATAGAAAAAGTGTAGTCATGGTAGACTAGGACAATCATTTAAACTATTGTTCAGCTAACACAGGAAGTGCCTACTCTTTGTGAAGGCAATTAAGATTGACCATAATCTTTTTAACCAAAAGCAAAATGTAATAGCAATAGTCATGTAGCATTAAATTGCAATGACTGCTGAAATACATTAGTATATCAGATCTCCCAGTCTGATAGGCTCTGCACAGATTATACATTCCCTTTTTTAACACAAATTACAGGAAACAAACAGCAGGCCAGGCCTGTGCCCTCGGATGTCGCGGTGATCATGTACACAAGTGGATCCACAGGAGTTCCCAAAGGAGTTATGATCTCCCATTGCAACATAATTGCTGGGATAACTGGAATGGCTGAGAGGATTCCAAATCTGGGGTACGTACCAACAGTTATCAGCAGCAAATAAAGACGTCATGTAGTTGCATATAATTTTAGATTAATTAGTATGTAAAATATCAACTGTTCTATATTGCTTTGTCCATGACACATCATACTATGCGCTGATGTCTGAGCATCTTCCAGTACTGCATTAAATGACATGACGACTTCATGTGCTGTTTGTTCTGTCATCTTCTGTGTGTGGGCAAGAACAGGACACAAAAGGCTGTGCGCCTGCCTTGCACTGGAGTGGTTGAAAGCTTCTAAGTAGTGCTTCCTTTGGTTAGTATTAAATTCTGTGGTTTCTTTCTGTTTGGTGCAGTTTTTGATCTTGTCCACAGAGTTGCCTTTGCAACCATAACACATGGTTAATTGTCTTTGGGGTGAGTAAACATCATGCTTTGTTCATGCTTAAACCTGCAGTATGTAGCACACAACTTCTGAAACAAAACCTATGTTATTCGAAATATGTTCTCAAGCTCAAAGGCATTTTTCCAATTTCTCTAGTTCTGCAGTAAGCTCTGTGTAAATTTAGCTTAATGACTCATCTGAGGACTCTAATGGTACAATATAAACTTATATTTTAAAAATTCTTTACAGGGAAAAAGACATCTATATTGGCTATTTGCCTCTTGCGCATGTCCTGGAGCTGAGTGCTGAACTTGTGTGTCTGTCTCATGGATGCCGCATTGGTTACTCTTCACCTCAGACATTAGCTGACCAGGTATGTCGTACATGTAAGCCCCTGTGGTAAAAAAAAAATAATATATAATTGCATCGGATCTTTGTAATATTTCTTAAAAAATATTACAACAAATCTTCCTTTGTACAATTCATGAAACAGGGTATTGGTGGTTATGACCGGTATTCTGGACTAGTTTTAATTGTTAAAATACAATTTAAATAAAGTGATTGTTTGAAAGATGTGCTATGTCATTTTGTTTCTTGTGTTAAAAATCTTGAATGTGTCTGCTAGTAAACTTATTCTTCGCTTTAGTCGTCTAAAATAAAGAAAGGAAGCAAAGGTGATGTCACTACACTTAAGCCAACCCTAATGGCAGCTGTCCCGGTAAGTAACTGAAGGATAAGTAATTTTAAAATTTATTTTAAAAATATAATTCATATTTCAAATTTTTAACAACAAAATTAATGCAATGATATTTTAAATAAAAAAGGTGGAACCTTTGATGTTAAGCCAGCTTTAAATATTTTTTTGTATTTATTTGTATGTTGGGGATAAACATTCATCATATGAGTGTCAACATTTTTTCAAAGTTTAAATAGCTGTGGGGGTTAGATTGCCGTTTTAATTAGTCATCTTTTGTTCATCATAGTAAATGAACGGAATAAAGATAGCTGGCACCAGGTAGCTTGGGGTTAACTAGTGCTCCTGCTCAGATGTTTGCTTTCCTCATTTCTGTGAAGATCTTGCTATCTCTTAGCAGTGGAAGAGGAAGCAACCTGAGAGTTGATTGTCATCTGAAACGAACTAGAATTTCTAGATGATGTTTCCTTTTTGTTGTACTGAATTTAGGATTTCTGTTTCTTTGAATTAAAGTTAATCTTTATATATAACTAGGAAATTATGGATCGGATCTACAAAAATGTCATGAATAAAGTGAATGAAATGACTAGTTTCCAGCGGAATCTATTTATATTGGCCTACAACTACAAAATGGAACAGATTTCCAAAGGTTACACTACCCCACTCTGCGATAGGTAATTTTAGTTTTATTTTTAATGGCACCAAAAATGTTTATCAAAGTCTTAGCACATGAGCAGTATCTGATTTTTTTTTTTTATGCTTTTCTTTGTTTTAGTGTTGACACTTTGAACATAAACAAGTCTGTAATTAAGTGTAAAGTGGAACAACAAATCAGTAGTTTGTGCGATGGTTTTAAATATTTACTGATAGAATTTAAGTGAGTGTTATTTAAGTTGAAACTGATTGGAGATTTATATTCGTTGCATTATTTTCACCAGGACTTTAATAATGGATTTATACAATTCTTGAGTAAGATGGGAAGTCTCTTGCTATAGATAACAGTAGACGTCACATTTTCACAGAAGTGAGTCACAGAATATCTCAAGCTGGAAGAAACCCATAAGGATCATTGAGTTCAATTCCCAATTTCAGTGAGACTAAAGATAATAGAATTGCCAAATTTATATAGCTTATTTAAGTTATTTTTGAGGAGAAAATCACTGAACTCTATTGTCTTACTAAATATACGTTCTCAAAACACTTAACCCATCTTCAAATTAGAATGTGGAAACAAGCTTAGAAATCTGTGTCTGTGTTTTTGAAAACTTAAGTGTGCTCCTTCAAAGTTTTCCTTGAATGCCATAAAAGTTTATTTGAAGATGGTGGAAACTTTCAGTTCAGATACAAAATTAGGTATCTCTTGTTTTGTTTTTAAGCAACAAATCTATACTCTTACCTTTGCATTTTAGCCTTATTTTCCGGAAAGTGCGAATGCTGCTGGGAGGAAAAATTCGCATCCTGCTTTGTGGAGGAGCTCCGCTCTCTGCAGCAACTCAGCGGTTTATGAACATTTGTTTCTGTTGCCCTGTAGGACAGGGTTATGGACTAACTGAATCAGCTGGAGCTGGAACAATCACGGAAGGTTGGTGTCAATGCATCCCACCAAGTGCTGTGATCTGTGCTGAGCGCTCTGCATGTATCATCTTTGACAATCTATTCATTTGGTGTATGCCACCAAATATAACTGGGGAATCCGGGGAGTTACTTGTAATCATAAATGTATAAAACAGTAGAAGTACTAATTTTGGCACATTGTGCTAAAGCTGGTGACCTGCTTTTAAAATGAATGTTCTCATTTGTGATAGAGAAACCTGTAATAGTGTGAGTGGGATCTTGGCATTATTGCACTTACCATTTGAACCAAATAAATTATTTCTAATTTCGGTGAGTATATTGAGATGTTGGGAAAATAAAAAATAGAATGCAAAAGCCTGCACCAGGTTTTAATTTCATGTAACAGAGCTTAATGGTTTCAGTTGCCTTTTGGTCCTAAAATTTCACTCTTATTTGGTGTTGGCAGAAACAGTCAGAGCTGCTATGTTTCGTCAATGGTGTGATTTACCTAGGAATCATACGAGGAGTATCCAGGGTTCATTGCTAGATTATGCCGGATTGTAGAACATGTATTATGTTCCTTGGTGATCCACAAACTACTGTGATGTGATTTTTATTCCAAGAGGTCTTTGGAAATGGCTTCTTCAGTAGCTTGGGAAAAAAAAAATAGTGGAACTGTAATACAAATGATGTAGTCTCCAGTGGTGCTCTTTTGGGAGGGTGCCCGGATGCAGAAGTGTTTAGGGTTGAGACTTCAGGAGAGTGAATCAAAATATAGAATCCTTGAATTGTTATGAAATATTGCTACTTATTTCAGAGTCCAGTGAACACTATTTAAAGTTGTGCAGCTTCTGAAGCATGATCCACACAGACAGCTTACTAGCAAAGCTGTGTTGATATGACTGGAGGTATCTGTAAATACAGCCATCTATTTTCTTTGCAGGATAAGGATTTTATCTGCATTACTTTGATAGATCCATTATTTTTCTTGGAAGTTTTGTTCTATGAATTAAAGTTCAGGAATAAATAGCAGTTAATTTACAGTAAACAAGATGCATGACAACAAATATTTTTTTTCTAATTTTGGTAATTTTTTTTCTGAAAAATGCTCTTTTTTAAAATTCTAGTTTGGGACTACACTACAGGGAGAGTGGGAGCACCTTTGGTCTGTTGTGAAATCAAGTTAATGAACTGGGAAGAAGGTGAGAATTTCTGTATGTGACAAAATTATGGTGTGTTTGTAAGAACTTTATATAACTGGTTTTCTATTGGACTTGGCCTAGTAGTAGTAATTAAAAGACTATTTCTTGGCTTTTTAAATTTTAAATGCTGCTTTTACCTGTAGAAGTTTGATCTTGGGGTAGAAAAAAGCTGAAAATATATTCCTCAGTGGTTTTTAAACTTACAAATATCTAGACAAGCTATCAGTGCGAGTGGCATTTTGACTAGGTTGTATGATGACTCTCTGGCTATATGATTTGTTTTATTCCTGTCACTATAATTGCATATGCATGTTGTGTAAGTGCATACAGAGTTGTACCTCTTTCTGATTTAGATCAGTATTCTTGCAGGACAGGGTACAGCTCGTGTATTTTGTGTCTTAGAGGTACTGGATTCAGGAGACTTCAGCTGAAGTGCTTGAATGATACCTTCTGTTGCCATTAAGAAATTATTTTAAATTAGTCTTCATAATATTATTTAAATCATTAAAAAGTGGATATGTGGAATAGAAGCTTAATGGATACTGTATCAAATATACTTAATGAAGGTTGGAATGTATTTGTGTGATTTCCATTCACTGTAGGATTTTAGGTATTGTAGAGTAGAAATACATAATACTTAAGGGCGTTTCGGGCTAATGTGAAACCATACAGGTTTTTTATTCCTAAAATATGAGGCAAAATTTATCTTTTCTTTGATTCAAGCCTGTACGAAACTGATAGACCATGTTAGTCCTGGCAGAAAGATTGCATAGAGGTGGCATTTGCCCTCTTCATGTGTGTGAATTTCACTATTTGTAAACATGCATGTTAAATAATTGTTTATAGGCTGAAGAGAATTGGAACCATGTCTTCTCTTACTGAACTATTTAGGCAAGTGGTATCTTTGGTTAAGGACTTACTAAAGTATTTCGTTCTATCTTTAAATAATAAATAAGAATAGTAAAAATAATAGGAATTCTTGCTTTGGAAATATATTTTAATTCTTGTTAACTTAATAAAAACCCCGTACTTTTAGGTGGATATTACAACACTGATAAACCATATCCTAGAGGTGAGATTCTTATTGGAGGGCAAAATGTGACTGTGGGCTACTACAAAAATGAAGTACGAACCAAGAAAGATTTCACTGTTGATGAGAATGGGCAGAGGTGGCTTCATACTGGAGACATTGGAGAATTTCAGCAAGATGGATGTCTAAAAATTATTGGTGAGTTAATAAATTCAGGTGAACATATGAATTTTTCAGGGCCACTAAATACTGTAATTAACCAAAAAAATCTCCATATTTTGGCATGCAGTCTAAAGCCTTACCATGTGTCCCAGGGAAATTCTGGTATGTTAATATAAACTTGATTGTGTGTTTTAAAAGCTGATTTTTAAAACAATTGCTTCCTTTTAAAACAGTCTTAACATTGACTCCAGTCTCTTAGTGAGACTGGGTAGTAATTAGAGAGTTAAATATAAAATATAGGCTAATTGAGCGAGATAAGCTGCGTTAGATTTTATAATTTTGTGAGTGTGGAATTTGATTCAGTGAAAGGGCTCTTTTGGTAATACGTGCTCAGGAATTAAATAAGCCTTTTTGTAATCTTGCCATTCTTTGTAATAAGAATATCCCTTTATCATAAATGAATCAGAGGAATATTATACCAAGGTAAAGGTGTTATATATAAGCCTGTGATAGGCTCATAATTCTTTGAGACCCGTACGCACAAAAATAGGTGCCCTGTAAACTACCAGGTGTCTCTTGTGATGTCAGTGGTGATTCAGGGTGCTCTTTAATCCTGAAAACTAAGTTTATTTGGCTTATTATGTGAGAATAATCTTGGGTCCCATTGCAGCTACCATGCCTGGTTGCACAAAGCAGCATGAAGATACACAGCAAAGGGGAAGCACTCCTGGCTGCCATCGCAGCCAGTGGCATAAGGCCCTGTAGTCACCTTTGCCTTCTTTGGGCTGCATACAATACGCTCAAGTAATTTCGCTTAATTGTGTTTCAAATAATAGGTGGACAATTGCTCTTTAAATATGAATTTAACCTGGGAATAAATAACAACGTGTCCCCAAATGGTGCATCTCCTGCCTTAAGCGTCTGGACCAGACAGCACAAGATGTGTGCTTCTAGCCAAACCCTGGCTTTTCCGCTGTCCTAGTTGTGAATGGAAGACATGACAGTGCTGTCATATAGGAAATGCTGTTCTAAAGGCAGAAAATGCATGGAATTGAAATGTGTCTCATTTTTCTGTGAGGGACAGATTGATAAAAAGCAAAGTCTGGAAACCTGATATTAAATGTTTCTGGTACATTCACCAAACATGAGTCAGCTTACCTTTTGGCATTTATACATACATTTCATAAAAGATTAAAATCAATGTCTAAAGTTTTTGTGTTCTGTAATTAACGTTTAATTCCTTTTTTCCTCAATAGATCGTAAAAAAGATCTTGTAAAACTCCAGGCAGGAGAATATGTTTCTCTTGGCAAAGTAGAAGCTGCTCTAAAGAATCTTCCACTGGTAGATAATATTTGTGTGTATGCAAGCAGGTAAGAGGCAGCTGATACTTTGTTATTGCTGTAATCTTTGTCTCTCCTACTGAAGCCATAAGAAAAATTTTTTTGCCACTCAATGTGTGGAATTTTTTTAACCAGTTGAAAAAGATTTTTACTTATAATGCAATGGAATAACTTTCTCTATCAAAACTAAACTGTCTGAAATGTATTTTTTTATTTTTCCTTTCCTGTTTTTTTCATCATTTGTTGGAAAATGCCAAGAATGAATCCCCTTCTTTCCTTTTTCCCCAATCTGAAAAGCAGCTATGCTCTGACTGCATTCATAACAGACATCACTCAAGCAATTTAGAGATTATTACCTAGGGAAGCCCTAGGACACCTTGTTCCTTGCTGTATTTAGCTGTGATCTGTTCTTCAGGAAGTGCAGTTGTACTTCGGAGGAAGGTGTGGGGGGAAAAACCACCAACAGCCGAGTAGCCGGCTTGCGCATTAAATATACTTTTCTTTAAGCCCTGCGGTACATGAGCAGAAACCTTGAAGCTTGAGAGAAAGCACTCCGTAAATACTATGCAAACACAATTAATAAATGATGATCAAATGTCCTTTCTATTCGCTTTCTGCATGTACTAATGAATTAGGCATATAAGGACTCAAACATGTCTTAAGTTTCTATTTCTACAATTTCCTACCTGTGCATAGTATAGACTTACACATAGAAGTATACTTCAGGTGGTCTTTGTTTGCTGTTGTCATTTTGATGTTTGGAAAGTCATTTTGGAGCTTCTGAACAGAAATATTCTGATTTCAATTATGGCCAAAAAAGCCCCACTTGATAACTTTGATTGAAAGAGGCCAGGTCAAGTATACCAGAGAATTGCTCAGTGGTAATAAATAGAAAATTAACTTTTGGTTTGTTCACCTGGTTCTCTGTGTGGTTTTTCTTTTTTTGGTGTTAACTATTGGTAGTCACCCTGTAACTTAGTTTTGACAGTTTTGGATCAATAGGCTGACACGCATTGGGCATACCACTGCTGAGGAAGCTTCCATTAGATGAGGCTTTATTTGCGGTTTTGACTCGTTGGATGAGTCTCATGTTTGCTTGCTTTGACTGCCTGAGGTTACGTGCCTGTTCCGAGCACCCTCTGTAGCCTGTGGAGAAAGAGGTTCCTGCAGATGGTGATTTCTGCTGTTCAGGATTGAAGTTTACTATTGGAATTGTACTATCAAATTTTGTGTTAATTTTGCCAGGTCAACATGGCATTGGAGGCTAAAATGCACTTACCTCTGATAGCCTGCATCTTGCCTATTACTTAAAAATAAGAAAACCTATGAGCAATTTTTAAAGGTAGTCTACAAACCGAGTCCAAGTATATTCCAGATGGGTTTTTCTGCTGCTGCTGTATTTCTTCTTAATACTTTCATGTATACAATTTGGCATAAGTAGCCACATAATACAGATTCTCTGAATGATTGTCCATATGCACATTTCATTGTGCCTATATACTCACCTCAGCAGTGTGAGCTCGGACACTTCTTGTTAGCAGTGCCTGTGACCTCTCTTCTATCCTGTCTCTCCTTGTACTTTGCCTGGGTGATCTCATATGCAAGAGGTGTCCTTCATTTGTAACTGTTCTGTCTCCCACATGTAAAAGGACAAGGAAGGCAGACTTTTACGAATGGGTTAAATCTGTGATTTGACCTTAGATCTTCGGATGCAAAGCTCCTCTGAATGTAGTAGTAGGGAATCAAAAGTGTTTGCACGATATCGTTACTTCAAAAACTATATTAATTGACTGAGTCAGGCAAAATACTCAGTGAGATAAGGAATAAAATGTTTGCTGAAAGGAATTGTGATTAGAGTTCCTTCAGAGGAGAGTCCTGCTGCTTTATCAGCACTTCACCCATCCAAGGTGATTCAATGTGTCTCAAGCATCATGTCAGGAAAAGGAGTAGTTCCGTTACCTGAGGAATGAGCAAACATGGTAAAAAAAGAAAAAACACCAAACCAACCAACCAAAAAAAACCCCACAAAGGAGTTCTCAACAGGAAGCTCAAGGAGAGCTGATAAGGACCAGACTTAACAAAACAGAAATGGTGATATCGACATGTAATGCCACTGAATATGTCTCTTATCATAAGTCTGAGGGCCGTATTTGGGTAGGATCTCAAGCACAGCAAGGAAATGGGGATGCCGAGTGTAGGAGAGACGTTCTGACAAAATCTCATAGCATGTAGGAGATGACTAAGGAGGTCCTGAGGACCAAATTCTGAAAACTTCTTCCTTCATGCTGCTGTTATGACCTCCAAGACTGAAGAAGCTAGAAAATTCAAAAGATCTGCAGAAGAAACAGTAGTGGAGAGGGAAATAGCTGCTCCGGAGAGAAAATGTAGTCTTCAGGATACTTCTCAAGACAAACAGTGCTTTAGCATTTGAACTGCAACAAGCGAAGATTTAACTTAGTGGTACAGAATGAAAAGCTACACATTCCAGGAGCTGTGAGCTCCAAGGTGCTCTTTCCAGGAAAAAGCATAGTTGTACGAAGACATTTGTTCAGAGGAAGTATACTTCTAGTCAAGAGGCTGAATTTTAGATGAACCACAGTTTGAGGCTTACCCAGCCAACTGATTACTTCTATATGCTGTTTATCCCTGGAGACACTGGTGATATTGGTGGACATGATCTTAAGTATGTCAAAAGACTACAGGAACCAGGGATGAAAGTGCCAGAGTCCTTTGTGTTCTGAATGCCTTCATACATAATACATATACGTTACAGAGTAGGCCGTAGATGAAGTTACAACGATTCAGTACAGAGTATAGCACGAGTGTGTGTGTGTGTTGGGGGGGGGAATCAGAGAGGCAAAGTCAGAAGGTGAGATGCAAGCAGTAAGTGATAGTGAGGCTAATCTGAAGTCTTTCTGTAAGTACACTGTCAGTAAGAGAAAAATGAGAATGGTTTTGAGTCAGCCAACAGGCAAAGCTTGTCAACAGATGATGCCAGGGAAGCCTATGTTTGTAATGGACTTTTGTGCAGTCTTCACAGCTGCTGTCAAATGCCCATTATAATTTGTACCAGTAACAAAGAATAAAATTGCAATGTACAATAACCAAAAGGGTATTTAGAGGTAGCATTTTAAAATTATGTTTGAGACCTTAAAGGATAAGCTAAAGTAATCTCCATACCAGGGTTGAGGTTCTGTATTTTGCATTAATGATCTGTCTAGTGAAAGAAAGAGTTGAAAAGATTTATTAATCTGTAGATGGTTAAAGTGAGACAGGACCAAATGTACAGTGGAGGACAAGATTAGAATTCAGAGCAAGCTTGACTAGATGGAGGTTTGCTTGAAAACAGCAGTCAGTTTAAAGAGGGGAAATGTAAATTATACTTACACCTAAATAAACTGCAAAAATGCAGGATGAGGACCACCAGCTGGTGACAGTTCTGTAGGAGCTGAAATGAATCAACAAGTGCCATACTGTTATAAGAAGGTAAATAATATGACATAATCAGACGTATAGCCTACTAGATGCACAATGATCTATTTGCTCTACCAAGCACTAAAGGGTCTGAGCTCCACATGCAACACTTCAGAAAAGGTGGACCTCTTGAAAAGAGTCTAGGAGAAAAATAGGAACGTCTGGGCAGAGATCTGTGATGCGTGACTTGGGAGGAAAGGGCATTGCTTAAATTCCTGAAGAAACAAGAAAGGAAGGAAGACTAGAAAGGTGAGAGGGAAAAAAAAGTGACAGTCTGTGAATGAATGAATGGCTTCTGTGGAAAGGAGAGGAACATCTGGCTATTGGCTGTATGAAAATACAACTGATGTAAACTGCAGAGAGGAAGAGTCAGGAATAGCCATCAGGAACAGCTTACCAATGCTAAGAATAATGAGGCATTTGCATTAGCGTTTGCCTTATGCTTAAGAAAGTGTTAGACATACATCCGTTAGATGTAACTGACCTTGCTTCAAGGCAGGTGAATGAATTAAATGATCTTCTGAGATAGCTTTCAGCTCTCTGATTCTGTGATCTGCTTTGTTAGAATGTGTAGAATTGCTATGTGAGGTTCTGTTCACGTTTTCCCTAAACTTTACACCATCTGAAAAATCTTGAATACCTGTTTCAGGGCAATTTGTGCTTCAGTGTTTTCCAAAGTCTTTGAGATCACAGCTTCATATGTTCTAGACATGTCAGGAGCAGACAAAGATTGCCAACAGTAGAGTGAGCGTATGGACAATCACTTGAAAGAGAAAGAGAAGTCACTTCCCTTACAGAAGCAGGCATTCTTTGAGATGTGTTGTGCATATGCTCATTCCACAACCTGCTCTCCAACCCCTCTTCACTGCAGTCCTCTACTCCTCTACAGTAACTGGATTCTGCAGTTGAGAGGAAACTGAGGTAGGGAAGCCGCACACCAGTCTTCATACCGGGATACAAAACATGAGGAGAGGCAGGGCGCAATGACATCGTATGGGTACTACTTCCCCAAAGCTTTGAGCATGAGACACAGTGGAATGTGCATATGGACAGCACACCTTGAAGCAATCCAGTTGCTGTAAGGTAAGTAGCTTCTCTTTCTACTTATTTTTAAGCAGGCAAAGGTAATACGTGAACAATTTCAGAAAGATTATCAGGTGAACAAAAGCCAACTGTTAAGAGCAATATCTCTGTATGAAGTGCAAACCCTTCAACTTGAAATGTTATTTTTGAAGACTTGTTAACTTTACAAAATTCATACTAAAGTATGTTATACTTCTCAGTTTCCATTCTTATGTCATTGGATTTGTTGTGCCAAATCAAAAGGAGCTGGCAGAACTAGCTCGAAAGAAAGGATTTAAAGGAACGTGGGAAGAGATCTGTAACAGTCCTGAGATGGAAAAAGAGGTACTGAAGGTGCTAGCTGAAGCTGCCATGGCAGGTGAGTAGCTGGGTAGATAGTATTAACCTTGTGGACCATAATGTCTGTGAAACAGTTAAGCATAGACTCTAAAAATATTTCCTTGAGCTTGTATATTTGCTAGAACATACATGAAGTGAAATTTTCATGCAATAGAACCCCAACAACAAAACTTGAGTTGGGTCAGTCCTTTTGGTTCATGTAACTTTTTTTTTTTCCTAGTGTGGCCAATAGCTGAGGAAACAATACAAAACCAGGGCAAACTCAACAAGCTCAGTTCAGTTCCCTGTGTGTTACATATATATATGTGTGTGTGTGTCTGGTGCTCTTTAAGATGTCCTGTAGTATCTTTTTGGCCTTAGCTGCTGGTCCAAAAGAATGTTGGGTCATCTGTAGATCCATGATATGTGTGTTGAGTATCATACGGTCTCATGTGCTATATACCTATGCATAGTTGAAATAAGCCTGTGGTGACAGGCTCCCCTAGCTTCCAGTGACTTGCATCTGAGGGATTTCCTAAACTGAAAGCAGTGTCTTTGTAGTTAATATTATTTTTTCAGTAGACTTTTCTTCCATTAACTCTTCTAGTCCCATTTTGAAGTTATGAAAATATTCTGTATCCGTACTGTCCTGCGGCAGAGCTGCACAGCTCAGCTATGTTTGTGTGAAGAAATGCCTGTTGTTTGTTTTCACCCTGCCATCTGCTAGTTCGACATGCTTCTGCTGAGCTCGTGTGTGGGAAGAGGCAGTGAACAGCCACAATGGCGGTCGCGATTTTTTTTTTTTTCCCAATGTCTATTGTGCTTTCCCCTCAGCTGTATCTTTTTCATGCTAATTGGTCATAATCTATTTAGCTATTCTGGTGCAGAATTAAACAGTGGCACAGTGATATTTTGGTTGTTCTTTCATAATAATTTCTGCCTTGTTTTTGCTCTTGACCATTACTAAGCACTGACCTTTTTTCATAAAGCTGTCAGTTAGGACCACAGAATGTTTTTTTAAATGGGCATTGTGGATGTTAAATTTGGTTTTCTTATGCATTTTCTTTTACATTTTTCTGCAATGAATGTTTTCTGCTGTCTGTTTTGCAATTGCTCAGTATCATGATGTCCTTCTGTACCTCTTTGAAATTTGTCCTCATCTTTTCTACCCAAGATAACTTCGTGCTTTCAGCAATCTTTGTCTTGTTAATCTTTGTCTCTTCTCCATATTGTGAAAATATTAAACTCTATAATTAGCATATTTGCAGACTTCTGTTACAGGAGCATCGTCTTAAAATGAGCGCAGTCTCAATACTGCAGCAGGCTTTTTTTTTTTTCCCTTGCCCCATGTCTCTAGTCCGTATTTCTTCACTGTGTGGAGCATATAGGCACGGTCACTCTAAGAAGCTGCTGCAATGGAGAGTATGTACAAAGTCACTTGCCTTTTCTTTTTTGTGCAGCACTAACTATTCTAAGGGGAACTAAATATGTTGTTAAAATTGATGAAACGGAATATTTGATTTAATCCTGAGGCACTTTTGCACATTTTGATGTTATTTTATATTTGGTTTTGTTTTTCAATTTGGTATCATAGACTGTACTTTTAAAGTAATACTATGATTTTTAGGGCTAAATTGCAAAAAACCCACTCAAATCTAGTGATTTAATGTCAAGGGGAGTAAAAAATGCAGGAAAATCTAAAAATGGCAAGTTGCACAGGACAATTATACATTTGTGGATTATTTTTTATTTAACCTGAAAACAGATATTTTTTTTTTAATATTGCCCATCTGTTGATTACTTTTCTTTGAGTTATTTGTTTTTCTTATGTCTGAAACCATAGCAGAAGCTCTTGCAAATGATACGATGTTTTGTGCTAAAGGCGTAACATGCAGAGCACTGTTGTGCTTCAGTAAGGGGAACAGCTACCGTATGAACTTACTTTCCTTGAATGATTTAGGACTATCAGGAAAAACCACACTTTTTAAGGTTTTTAAGCTTAAGTAGTATGGATTTTAAGACTTTGTCACCAGAAGATGAGTAGCATGACACTGATACAACAGTATATATTTTCAGGATGTCACTTGCAAGCACTGAGGCTCTTCTGAAGTTAGGGAGCAGCACAGATACCCAAACAGCAGGGGTTTATTTCAGTATTTCTGTGGGAACTGGAGAACAGTTACTGATGGATCCTGTCACTCTACTTGTGACCACACAGGTTTTCAAAGCTAACCATGGGGGGTTGGAGGAGCACTTCTTCATTTATGTCACATGTTTTTCTGTGTAAGAATATAGTCTTTTGTGCTTAATTGTAGAAAAATTGTGACATTTACGTTTTGTATTAAAAATGTTTATTTTTACAGCTAATCTGGAAAAGTTTGAAATACCAGTAAAAATTCGTTTGAGCCCTGATCCTTGGACCCCTGAGACTGGTCTAGTGACAGATGCGTTCAAACTAAAACGCAAAGAGCTTACGGCATACTATCAAATGGACATTGATCGAATGTATGGAAAAAATGTAAAATAATTCTTTTTACTGCACCACTTTGCTACGATGAGCTTGGATCAAATAGGAAATACTTGAATTGCCTGTCTCAACACTTGAGATCAACACACAAACCCACCATTCCTCATTTGCAGCTTAAACTGTTATTTCTGATAACATCACCATGATGACTGGCAAGTTTAGTAAAATGTTATGGCAGCAAACTTGTGTCTGTCTCCTTTTTTCCAGTTTTCTCTGCTACCTTGTCAGTCTGTGGATTTTCCCAAGTCTTTTTGGGAAACCATGATTCTGAAGCCTCAAGTTTTTAAACATTTATAAATCCTGTATAATGTTTTATTTGTATCTTTAAAATTTGGATGTATATAGAGAGAACTTGGCTATATAAGAAATGGTTATACTGGGGGCCTTTTTTAACCTAATTATTTAAAGATAAGAAGGTATTGATGTTGTAACATTATGTACATTGAAAATGCTTGTAATGAGGTCATTGTTGGACGGAAGACCGGGTTGTTTGCTGCTGTGCTATTTTTCTGTGTAAATCTGAGAGAGAATATGTTTGGACATTGCAGCTTGTGTAATACACCTTCAATATGTGCCTAATGGTTACTTTTATTTTTATTTGAAAGTTAAAAGGTGGTCATGGCACAGCTCTGCATAAAGCAGGTACTCTTACAGGTGTTCATTAAAGCTTGTTTAATACAAAAGATGCTGTTAACGCAGCAGAATTTAAACCTAAGAATAATCTCTCAAATACAGAAACTAATTTTTTAAATAGCTGATGACTATTTCATCCAGTAGTTGAATTGTGTAGAGCTAATAAGAACTCTCAGCATTAATTTTGCTATACACTTCGGCAGCATCCTTTTAGCAGAGGGACTGTAAGAACTTTTGTCTTTTCTCATTAGGTTTGGACGTTACACTGAGTTTGCTCTTTCGTTGTTTGTGGAAGTCTGGCAAGACCCCTGTTCTGCCCTAGCTTCAACCCAAATCTTACTGGGGGGATTTTTAAAGTCATAATGACAGTTATGTTCTCAGTTCACGCAGTGCCTAGCTGCCCTTTGTGCCATTAAAAATCTCCCTTTAATTCTGTGTGTGTTTAGGTGGGGTTTTTTTGCTTTAAAAACAGATATTTGAAGTAGTTGTCAGCCAGAGTTATTTATGTTGCTTGGTTTGTTACACCTAATTCTTACTTTGGGAAGAAGTCTCAATTTCTGTTTTACTATCTGTGAATATTCTTTGAAGAAATATGGGGGATCTTTTCTTCTTCAGTGAGAGTGTTTAGATTTGTTTCAGATGTGAATTTTATTTTCAAAATGTTTCTAGAAAGAATATTTTAATCAGGGTTACATGAGAATGTGAAAAGGCATACATCAGTCAACTTTGTGACAGAGCAAATATTAAAATGGCTTTAATATGGAGATTATTCTCATGTGTATCATTTACTTGTAGTACTAAAAATCAAGGTCTTGCTGCTCACTGAGTACCCTACTGTGGTAGCACATAGCAGTTCCAAATGGCAGCAGCTTTGGGGAGGGAGTTCCTGCTGTTAGCATTTGTGACATGGGAGTTTTGGGAGATGTTTGATATACAAGTCCTCATTTTAAAAAAAATCTGAAATATTATTTAAATTAACACTTTCCATTGACTATAGAAAGCAGCTTCATAGGAGTTGAAAGTTATCAAGTAGGTTCCCTGTACTTTAGTTTTGATGAAACGATGAGGAGGTTTGTGCTGTATTTTATGTTACATTCCCATCTCTCCCACTATTCATGGATTTTCCCTGCTGCTGTCTATGAAAAACTGTTACCATTTGGTGAATTTTGATGTAACTAGTCAAATGGAAATAGAAGGAACAAAAAGAAATCAAAACCACATTTGTGAGATTAATGCATTCAGATATCCAGACCATAAATTAAAACCTTCTGGCAAGTAGAGATGAGACTAATGCTGGAAAATGACTGAAGAATCCAAATGTGGAAATTGCCAAGTGTGTAGGGAGGGGTCACACCATATATTAGACGTTACTAATGCTTAAATATGTATCTGTGCTCCATCAACAGGTTCTGAAATAGTTTGCAGTCAGCACAGGATGTATGTTCAAATATTTTTTGTGATTTTTAGTGAAAATCAATGAATCGCTGAAGTACTATGTATATCACTTGGTGCGTTGTGCAGCAGATTTAAGAAAATAAATCTGCTTTTGGTTAAATCAGAAAAAATCTGAAGTTAGTGTTTTGTTCTGCTAAGGGTATAAATCCACTTTTGGATAAATTGCATAAATGAAACTTTCAAAATGGCTTGGAAATAGTTTTAATTTTTCTTCTAATCCAGGCACAAGATTGGGTTCCGTCTAACTGTGCATTTGATTTTACAGTTCAGTTTTTTTATATTTTAAATGGATGTAGATATATATAGTTCTTCCTTCTTTAGACGTCAGGTTCATTGTGGACATTTATTTCTTCTACAGAATGTGAAAATAAAGCAGTTCATTAATTTTAGTCTCAGCATTGGAGATAGACAGACTTTCAAAATATTTGTGATGAGTATGTGGTTTTCTTCTGATTTGTAACAAAAGACAGACTTCAGTACTGCTAGGTTCTGCGTGCTTCCATGTCCCATTGAGGCCACCTGTCCCGTGGGTGCCCACGCTTCTCGTTGGTTGCCCAGGGCCGTCACGGGAGGGTAAGTGGCAGTGGCTGTTCAGATGTAGGGCTTCCTGCCTCCCCGAGTCGTGGTCCTGGGGACCACCATGCCTGTCGGGTACTTTTGGCTGCCACCGTGTTCTCACCCTGTGCTCTTGCGTTGCTGAGCAGAAGGACAACTTTAGAGGAGTTTGCTGAAACCCTGTGTAGATGTGCTATGTGCCAGCCAGGAATTTACCTAGTCTCTCTTATCTCTTTCTTTTTTTTCTTTTTTTTTTTTTTTTTTGGTGTGTGTGTCTTCCCATGCCCCGTGTAACAAGAACAACAAAAGTACCTATTGGAATATGTTGCACATGTCCCAAAGGCTGCAGATGGCTGTAGAGCAAATTAGGAAAAGTGCGTCGTTGGAAGTAATGGTCTCCGTCATGTGGGGAATTTTGTAATGGAAAGAGCTGTAACTTTTAAACGGTCTTTCTGAGTTTAAACTAAGAACAAGGGGCATATACCTCACCTGAGGGCCCCCAAAAGGGAGGGATTTTTAACAAAGCTTTTGTAAATATAAAATTCCCAGGGACTCTGAATCATTGGAAACTGTAACTACTTACTCTGTTGTGAAAATCGACATATTTCATTATAAAAAATGACTGACCAAGAAATTTCAAGGATACTGTGAATCTCCTTTAAATTCCCACAATTTTTAAAAAATATTTCAGGACTTTAGGCTCAATTCAATCTAGATGTCATAAGTGTTCTTTGCACAGAGCAGTGTTCCTGGAGTAGGTTAGGAAATTAAAAAATGCCATGTCAGAAAAGACCTTGCGAGTTTGCTGCTGCTGCAGTTTACACTCAAGCAGGACCATACCTCAGTGAGAAGCTGTGTCTTAGCAGTAAAATATGTGGCTGAAATGAAAGCAAAAAACAATGTGCAACTGAAACTAAGAGCATAATGCATACCTACGTCCTACTGGTTTTATAGGTAGGATGCAGAGAAGGGTATGGAAATGAAACCATAAACTAAAAACATCCTGTAAAGCTTGTAAGTTTATGCAGAAATTGCTATAGGACATAAGACTCCTTTGCAATAACCTTTATCCTGCTAAAATTCACAAGCTTTTATTCTGTACTAAAACCACATTTAGGCAATGCAGTGCAGCATTTTTAATTTTTATTAATGTGATGTATTAACTACTTTGGACTCGGTATAAAATTGTGTACATCTGTTTCTTTACTGGTAAGAGGAACAATCTTCAACTTGCATACACCTTGGACCAGGCTGAAATGTTAATTGAATGACCAGTTGTATATTATTGTAATTGGTTATTTAATGTAAACTCATTTGCAATGTGATCTTGGTTGTTTACTATGAACTGCCTGAACATTGTATATCCTAATTGAGTTATATTGTATGAACTATTTATTTGTAATTGGATATCATGTTTCAAAAATAAAATTAATTTCACAAATCAGGCTGCATACGTCCAGTTTTTTAAGTAGCATTTCATTTTTGTCTGTCTAAGCCTAGATAATTTGTGGTTGTGAATTAGCAAGACTCATTACCTTAGTTGAGTACGTGGCTGTTGAAGAAGGGTAGTGGGTTGGGATAGTTCAAAACATTGCGTTACCTACAAATCTGTAGGATGGTGGGCACGTCCTGCTGTCGTGCTCCCTGCCTCGCGGTGATGGTCACCTTTTGCAGAAGGCCTCATCCCTGGTATCTTGACAGTTCTCGACATTAATAGCCATGTGCTTGTGCTTTGCAGGTGGTGAATATGCTGGTTGACTGCTCAGCCATTTGTGCTATACAGATATTTCTGATGTATTTTTCTGTATGTTAGTATTGGTGGTAGTGAGTTTGTGTCTGGACTGGGTAGTAATGACCCTTATACGCAAGGCTTGCCAATTCAGGAGTGGAAATGATACTTGATACAGTGAGAATTTAGCCAACTCCTGTCCTTTGAAACTATAATTTCAAGTCTTGTCAAATATTTAAAATAAATGTGACAGTTTCAAGACGAATGCCGGAACACTAGCTATCAGGTTAGCCTGCTTTCCACTGCAGGAGAGTCACCATCCTGCTTTGTCTGTTTTATTTGCATATGATCTGCCACGTACCCCTTTTTAGGAGCAGTGGCTGTGGTAATAACTTGTGTAAAGCTATAAGCTTCTGATGTATTTTTTTTATTTTACTATCCAGGTGTACTAGGACTTATATTTGGTGTTTAATTTTCCTTAAGTTTGTGGGCTGAAGGGTCAGATCTCAAAGAGATGTTAGGTGCTTGCAATTAGACTTCAGAGATCTTGAGCACTGAAATGTAAGGTTTTGATTACAAGCTCACAAATTGTTGCTGGTAAATATCCAACCTGGAGGCATCTCAACAGATGCCTTTTTTTTTTCTTTTTTTTTTTTTTTTCTTTTTTTTTTTTTTTTTTTTTTTTTTTCTTTTGGGGGGGGTGTCTTTATTTACAGGTTCCCTAGATGCCTAGGGTTGTAGTGCTGGCTAAATGTCAAGCCTTCCCTGCTGCATGGCTGATCTTTATTTTTATCCCTTTAGACAGCCATGAGAAGGCTCCAACTTCCTCCTGGTTTTCAGTTATATTCAAAGTAATTTCTTATTTTCTTTCTATCAACAATACTGTTTTCTTAAAGACTGAAAACTTTTTATTTCAAATTCATTTAGGATAATATGACACACTAATTTTTTTTTTCCCCCTCCCTTA